AAATTTGACTCGTAATTTTTTTGTTTTGGAGCGGAGGGGGGGGGGGCATAATATAGAGTCCATACTAATATATATGACTGTCGTTTGTTTGTCATTCTGTTCAAGGTTGGTAGTTAAACCAAGGCTGTCATCGAGGCTGAATATTTTGTGTATAGGGGTGGCACCAAACTAGAGTTTTACCAAATTTGGTTATAATGTCCTTTGTATGTATTTCGTTGTATAGCTGATAAAATTTTCCGACGTTTTGTCCAGCGAGAGCAAGAAACCTATATATTGCCATGACACACATATATAATGCGTGTTATAAGTTAAAAAGTAAAAAGTCACCTTTCTTGAAATGACATCTTTCTTGTTTCAGAATTTGCCAATATTTTCAAAATATCTGAAAAAAAGAAACATCCATTCAAATCCATCCTCATATTATTACAAAACTTTCTTGAAATGACATTTTTCTTGTTTCAGAGTTTGCCAATATTTTCAAAATATCTGAAAAAAAGAAACATCCATTCAAATCCATCCTCATATTATTATAAAACTTTTATATAAGTACTTTGATGCAATATACATATATAATATATATAGGTATATTTCCACACAAAATGATCAAGTCAGTTAAGTAACAGATAGCCTTTATAGGTCAAAGCAAAAATTTTCAAAATACAGAAACTTTAAAAACTTTCATTTCAGTTTATTTTGTTGAAAAGTTTAATGATACTCCAAAAAGTATCAAGCATATATTAGTGCACCACTTAATTCTATAGTAATCTAAAAATATTAATAAAAGATCTCTAAATTGTTTGGATTTCAATTTTATTTAAAATATAAAACAAATTTCAGTACGGCAGTAGAATAAATCATCTACCTATGGAGTACCTATTTGTATTGCGCGCAAAGGCTTTAGCAGCTTTGCAAGTATGGCTTTATAATATTATATACTTTTTGAAAATTAATTTAATCTTAAGTTATATTTTTCTGATTTGTTATTATTGTATTGGTTTTAGAAGTACAAAAGTGTTATTTTTTTAAATGCTGTTTATTTTGAGTTTGATATGTTGGTGATGAATTTGTTCACCTATAATTTGCATAGTCGCATCACCATGAATATAACCAGTTACGATTTCAACAATCTAACGCATTTTTTTGTTTTTAATTTATTGATAATGGCCGACATCGTGATCAGCCTGTATACATCGAGTGTCGATCGAACATGCCTTGTACCAATTTTCAGCAAGATTGGATATTTTGTTCAGGTATTATATCAGTATGTGCTTCCGATCTATTGTTAATTCAAGAATTTTGTGCCATTGACCCCTGTACGTGATCCCTGTGTTACAAAGTTATGTTCATGTTCAATATTATAAATTAAAACAAAACAAAGAAAAAATACTTCATTTCTCAATTTTATTAAATTCTAATCTTTTACTTCTCAATTCCTACAGGTTACATACAAAGACGGTCTCATCATTAGTACATCTAGGTTGCTACAAATAATTTCCAGACAACCTTTGCGGTAACCTGTTAGGTAATTACCTGCCCTGAAATTGTTTGACTTAAAGATACATTATGGAAGAATAATTAAAGAGCTGACAATATATAATAGATAAAAAACGGATTATAATGTAAATGGGAAATGTCGAAAATTTCAGTGAAATTGCTTCAATCTGATTCATATACACAGTAGCCACGATTGTCATTTTTACCGCTGTTACGATAATAAAAAGAAGACTTGAATATCCATTTTTGCGGTTAATCAAGGGCGTTGGACAGAAAATAGGATTCAAATCTAATGAAATTCGGACCCATAAGATGCCATCGAGGGCGTTGATAATGGTCTTTTTAATAAATGTCTAATTAATAGTTTATATAACATTTCAGACCTAAAGAAAGACCTGCAATAGTCAGATTTAGCTCTTGCATAATGTTTATGTTTAATTAAGCGAAAACATTAAATTTTAATGAAGGAGAAATGGGAAATTGAAAATATTTTTAAGTAAAGTAGATCAATAAAGAAATTGCAAAAAGACCTTACCTGTAAAAATTCTTATGCTCTTTAATAAATCTGTGTAGTTGTAACATGGTTTAATGTAAATCGCACCTGTATGTGCGACTGTTTACTTGTCATGTAAATACAACTGTTGAGGGCGCAATAAGTTTAACATATCCCAAATAAACACTTTAATGACATTCTGATTTTAATTTTCTGAATACTTATTAATATCTACTAAATGCAATGGGTATGATTCCACATTGAAGCCGATACAAGTGCGACTAATCCAATATGGGTAAAATATTGGACCCAGATGTATTATTTTATATGTGGTAGATGCCATATAGATAAGATATTGGCCCCAGATACACATGTGGGTAATCCCATATTGATACCATATTGAACATTTATACATAATATACATGAATGTGGTTATATCCATACCACACAAGCTTCTGGTGCACATATGCGTAATCCTTTCTGTGCAGATTGGTTCACAAAACTAAAACTATGGATTCAATAATGAACTTATACATACAAATAAGTAATCCCATATGGATACCATATTGGCCCCACATATACAAAAGTTATATGTAATCCCATACAGATACCATATTATCCCCAGATACACACATGGGTTATCCCATATGGACACCATATTGGCCCCATGTATACAAAACAGAGTTGTTAATGTGGGTAATCCCATATAGACCCAATATTGGCCCCAGATACACACACTATAAGGTCAGATTATCAATGTAAGAAAGAAGTAAGCATTATACCATTTGGCTTATCTCTGTGATATTAATTTACACACAACTAAAAGTATGGATTCAATAATGAACTTATACATAGAATAATAAGTAATCCCATATGGATACCATGTTGGCCCCAGATATACAAAAGTTATATGTAATCCCATACAGATACCATATTATCCCCAGATACGCACACGGGTAATCCCATATGGACACTATATTGGTCCCATGTGTACAAAAACAAAGTTGTTAATGTGGGAAATCCCATATAGATCCCATATTGGCCCCAGATACACAACACTATACGGTCAGATTATCAATGTAAAAAAAGAAGTAACCATTATATCGTTTGGCTTATCTCTGTGATAGTAATATATACACAACTAAAAGTATGGATTCAATAATGAACTCATACATAGACTAATAAGTAATCCCATATAGATACCATGTTGGCCCCAGATAGGCAAAAGTTATATGTAACCCCATACAGATACCATATTATCCCCAGATACACACACGGGTAATCCCATATGGACACCATATTGGCCCCAAGTGTACAAAAACAGAGTTGTTAATGTGGGAAATCCCATATAGATCCCATATTGGCCCCAGATAAACACACTATACGGTCAGATTATCAATGTAAAAAAGAAGTAACCATTATATCATTTGCCTTAACTCTGTGATATTAATATATACACAACTAAAAGTATGGATTCAATAATGAACTCATACATAGACTAATAAGTAATCCCATATAGATACCATGTTGGCCCCAGATATGCAAAAGTTATATGTAATCCCATACAGATACCATATTATCCCCAGATTCACACACGGGTAATCCCATATGGACACCATATTGGCCCCAAGTGTACAAAAACAGAGTTGTTAATGTGGGAAATCCCATATTGGCCCCAGATACACACACTATACGGTCAGATTATCAATGTAAAAAAGAAGTAACCATTATATCATTTGCCTTATCTCTGTGATATTAATATATACACAACTAAAAGTATGGATTCAATAATGAACTCATACATAGACTAATAAGTAATCCCATATAGATACCATGTTGGCCCCAGATATGCAAAAGTTATATGTAATCCCATACAGATACCATGGGTAATCCCATATGGACACCATATTGGCCCCAAGTGTACAAAAACAGAGTTGTTAATGTGGGAATTTTAAATCCCATATAGATCCCATATTGGCCCCAGATACACACACTATACGGTCAGATTAACAATGTAAAAAAGAAGTAACCATTATATCATTTGGCTTGTCTCTGTGATATTAATATATATGAAAATAAAGTGTATTTGCGTACATTTGTATGTGGTAAGATAATATGGGTCCTATATGGGGACCTTGTGGTATCACCTGGGCCCACAGCCCATTTTTTCCCCATGTGGCAATGTTTATGGGGATAGTGCGTTTCAGCGTCATTTAAAACAAGTGACCAGAAAAAACGAGGCTAGACATATTCCACAACTCATATCAAACGGTAACGCCATGAGAGCATGCGCAATAGACTGGAATAACCAGACGCTAAATATAGCAATTCGGTTGAGACTCTTGCCGTATTTCGATGGAGATAACTGATTTGAAATTAGAGTCAAAACGGAAACAATTAAATGTAAATCAGTTTATATACAATCGGATTACATTATCATATGCGTTGCGACCCATTCGACTGGTCAATTTCTAGGTCCAAAATTTTAGCGATTTAGCTCCTTTAAATCCCCCTTCTATCAATATCTCATCCCTGTTAATTAGCACACCGTATCTGCAGATTTTAGCCTCTTCGTATTAAATTTGTTACCATAATTAGAATTTTACCGATATTCATACAAATTTACCAAAGTCACTATTATATTACTACTAAGTGATACGCAACATAATGTTAATGGATATTTGATGGCCAGTTCATTGTGTACTTTGTTGATAAATCACTGACAAGGCAGGACAGGTTTCAACCAGGTCACCCAACGCCTAATATATTATCTATATATGGTGGTTGGTTACGGTAACGTTTATCAGCCTTTTTGAAACAAACGTGCTACTATAACACTCTATCATGTTTATATCAATAGTTATATAGTTATATTAATTGTTACATCCTATACAAGCGGTTTTCGAAATGTCGAAATAATTAAGACAGAAAAGAACAAATTTAGCATCGCGCCATACTTTTATTCCTGACAATAATTAGCCACCATACATTTTTCTTTCAGTCGCTACTCAACTTAAAGTTCAACCACAGGACTGTAAAAGGGACAAACTGAACGTGAGTATTGTTAAATATTGCAAATTTGGCTATACTTGGCGTCCACGAAAGTGGAACGTTTTTCGAGGGTTGTTTAAAGTCAACTAGCAGTGGTTTAAGGTTATGTAAATTTTCCAATAGAATACCTCTGGGTAACTAGAAGTCTTTAATACACATTTATAACAAGGCACAAAAAGGGTTGACAAACACCAAGACAATAATTTACTCTTGTATTGTGGCTTAATTTGCCGATAAGAATCTTATAGCTACGAATATCACGAATCACTTCAAATAGTGCCGTTGCGATTCGGCAAAAAAAAATTTAAAATTTCGTGGAGGATCGGGAGTAGCTACGAAACTGTTACGAATAGTATACAATGTCGAATGTCAAGATAGGGTTATACGATAAAAGTACGAGATGAAAGAATCATCTACGAATTGTAAAAATTCCATTACTAATACACTACGATCTTCACAAATAATGCCGATAAAGCACCATTCGTGGCAATTCGGCATATTTCTTGGGTTCGTAAAGCTATAAAAAGACACCGATCGCCGCCAAACCCGTAATTCGTCGTAGTCCTGATATAGATGTTGTCACTTGGGCTCTGTAAACAAAAGCGTTTGTGGTCGAGCTACTAACTGCTATGAACAATACGAATGTGTAAGAACCAAATAAAAATCATTCACAAACTTAAAGAACCGCCTACGATTTATCCACGAATGGGGAAAAGTTTGAATTCGGGACAATTCGTCGCATTTATAGCTCATTTTAATGAAATATGGCGATCTCGTGTTACTACTGATTTTATTCATTAGATTTTATGGGCAAAGTAAAGTGACACCTTCTTGTTGCATAGTAGTCTCAACACCACCAAGGCTGAAGATATTATTTCCCAACACAGAATAGTAGCCCTTGGATACAAACGTCCAAAATAAACTCTATTACTCACAATACACTATTTCACTGTCAATACCTCTTTAATTCGTACATCCGCGTGTTATCACGTAAATGATAATTTCAGTTTCATCACTTTCTTGCCCAATCGCGGTTACACCTACAGACAAAAGGATAAAACTTGGGGGCAGCTTTTATCTCTCTATTTATACTCTGATTTATGTAGTACAGTAGTCGAGTCTTAGATTTTCGAGTTGCTTTCCTATTTCCTTGTAGTTTGAAATTTCTACGTCCTTACTCCCACGAGGTTGGGATCCACCATCTTTTTTTTCAATCTTGAAAATGATCCGTCATATCTTTAGACGAGTGTTGCGATTAATCGTTAAACTGACAAAGCTTTCCTAGATATATTTTTTGTGGGGCAAATTCATTTCTATGGAGTACCATTTGAAACACATATTTTCCAATCAATCATTCAGCTGGACCTTTCCACATTCAATAGTGGACTATTAGTGTACAATTTAAGATTAAACAATGTGTTGAGTGTGGATAATTAATATTGAATAAAATTTATAACAAATTATTTTACTGTAAAATGTTCAATCTTAATTGTCAGTGCATCTTTATGCTTCCTGGCACAAAGTTTCAAGGGGTGAATTAAGAAGTAATACAAATGATAACAATGTGTATTCATTATAAAAAAAAATTACTGAAACCCAAAAGCAGTTTCAAGGAAATTGTGATGCAGTATTTACAAAATTCCATACAAACCCGAAACATTTAATCCAAATGATGTTTATGATGGTACTCCATACAAAAAGTCTGAAAGTAGTCCCTTGAAAAAAATGGAGGATATTTGAAAAACAAAAGTTTAATTACATAGACGTGGTGTGCTAAAACAAAGATAGTTTTCAAAATTTGAAGTCTTGGTGGTTGTAGTGTATATATTCAGGTATCTCTGTGAGACTTTGTGATTTCCCATGTTGAGTTGTTTACCCTGTAGCTGCGAAGTGCTGAATGGTATATCTGCTTCATATTTTCAAATTCCAAAGTCATTATTTTTGATTTTCATCCATTTTTTATTGTTCAGTATCATCTCAAGCACGTTTAGACACCATAATAAAGGCACTAAAGGTGTTGTGAATGACCCCCAATTTTAGGTGTTCTAATCAGGCAAAACATAGAGGGAAAAATATATCTTAATATAGCTGTCACTACGGGAAAATTAATGGTGGTCTGTATCCAAAGATTTTGTAGTGTTATTGCCCCTATACATAAAGAAAACGTTATCGAAGATAAGAACCATAGATCAATTGCCCCTATAAATATTTCTGAAATGGAGGTACTGCCGCGTTGACATTCGTAACCAGGGTTATGTGTTTCTATTTCCAGCACTGATATTGTGATCATATTAAATAAAATTTCCCGTTCCCTTCTTTTGTTTGTTTAATCAGGGCTTTATAAACATTATATAAATAGTTTCTATTTGCAGCTAATGGTGAGCTGGGTGGCTATAAAAATGAGTTGGTTACTTATTACATTCGTGGTTTCGATTACACTGTATACTTTCACAACATGGCGAAAAAACGCCCAAAAAGCTCCTTTACCACCAGGTCCGTCTTTGTTGGAGTCTTTCAAGATCATCTGGGGTATGATTAAAAAGAACGACATACATATTGTTGGTGAAAAACTGGCTATTCGCTTTGGAGAAATAGTGATCATTCGTTTTTGGGGATTGAATATCGTGTTTGTCAACAGTGCTCGACTTCTACGAAAATTGTTGACAAACACCAAGTATCGGGACATAACGAATGATCGACCGCCTTCCTTTTTAAGAGAACACGCCCTTTATGGCGGAAAGGATATAGCGTTTAGTGACTATAATGAATATCAAACCAATTTAAGAAAACTGTTACACGGAGTAGTACAGCTATATGGAGAAGGTGTTCAAGAATTTGAGGATATGGTAAATACAGAACTTGGAAATCTACAAAATAAACTGATGAAGGTTAAACCTGGGCAATCAATTGATATGGACGGTGCACTGAAAATTTCAATTACCAGAATACTGCATTTATTTGTGAGTCTTTATTACACGTATACATTCATTGCCACTCAAGTAGGTCCGTAGAATATCATCGATAATATAATAAACGATATATAACAATACAAATAATTTATTTTTATACGCCCACATGTTAATTTTATATTGTAACCACCCTTTCCATCCGTCGGTCAGTTCACACTTTCTTGTCAGCGCTCTAGAGGTAACAGTTTTTATCGGATTTTTCTGAAACTTTCTTGTAACTTGTTTTATATAAGAGGATCCCTAGTTTCGTCAAATGGGATCAATAAATTTTTAATGTTATGTTTAATCAGACTGTTCTGAAACTTTCAGGAATCTTTATATACTAAAACGATGATCCCTGTTTTGTTAACATGATAGAGTCTACAGTTTTTAACAGATTTTTTCCAAACTTGGTCAGAAGCATTGAGGTTAGGAGAGGTCTCACCCGTACGAAATTCAGCGTTGCACGCCCTTCATTTCCAAAATTATGCTCCTATTTACAAATAACTTGTGATTGTGATATAGTCTACAAACCTTTTTTTTTTCGAGACAAAGCTGTTGTCTATGCCTATTCCGCGCTGTGTGTGGCGATCTTTCAAACTAGTTTTAAAAGAAACTGAAACTGAGTTAAGACTATTTGCCCTTCTTCGATTCTAGAGGGAATGAGTAACAAAAAAGTGAGTGTGAACTATGGACAAGGAACTGAGCATGACGTCATATAAAAAATGGAAGTCCGTCATTGATGCGTAATTGTACAAGAAACGGGCATGCTTCGTTTGAATAGCGTCGTCTCAAAGAAGAGGAAGAAAAACAAGATGGGTAGCACTTGGGTCACATTTCCTTGTCCAAAATTACAGTATTAATTTATCTCAATTCTACTACAAATAACCACGAATGTATTATATATTTCAGTTAACAAACGAAAGGCTGAATGAAGAAATCCAGGATGAATTCTGTTCGATTGTTGAAAATTACGATAAACATTTTAATAATATACTTAGATTTGACACAAATTTGGCGTTGACCCTGCTTCCATGGCTACGTCATTTACCGGGGTCATATAGAGAACTGGTTCGTGAATTAAAGAAACATCAGAATAAGCTGACCGACTTTTTCCTAAATCCATCCAAAACACAGGTAAATAAATATATAAAAGACATAATGCAAAAACTGCACACAGAATACAGAGATCACTGACGAATACGACCAAAACCGTGGAGTTATGTGACATTTTCTTATGACCCATACGCATTTTCTTATTCACAAAGTGACACACAATCAAAAACGCACATCAAAATGTACAACACAAGAATACTTTCGCATATACACACTCATCTACCATTTGACTTATCTACCATTCGATATTGAAATACAAATTACTAGCCATTATTTTACATGTATTGTTAGATATTCTATCTCATATAGTAAAATTAATTCCATAAAACGAATAAAAACACCATTATCGTCTGCTTGTTGATTCTCTGTTTGGTTTGTAATTATCCACACACTCAAATAGGACGTTTCATACATCTATATTGTCTAAACATTAATAGAACTCGGTTCAGTCATTATAGTGTCATGGCAGCAAAGCATTCTAAATATATTATGCAACTTCAAATGTTAAAATATTCTTTTTCAGAAATGGAGACAGAATGGCAAATCTCTCCTCGGTACTTTATTAGCTGAGCAAGTAAAGAACGATCAGTTTACAGACGAATCTATCAAAGGAGTTATCGTTGATACGATTGTTGCTGGCTTTTTAACAACTAGTGGTTTCCTTGGTGGATTTCTCCTACTGATGCTCCATCACCCGGACATACAACGACGAATACAGGAGGAATTGGATGAGGTTCTTGCAGGAAGACAACCGAGCCTTGCTGATAGAACAAGTTTGCATTACACCAATGCGACAATTCTGGAATGTCTTAGGTACATTCGCCATGTTCCAGTTTCTCTACCACACTTGATTAAAGACGAAATAGAAATTGAAGGATATAGAATTCCTGCCAAATCTACGGTAAGGACCTGTGTATAGATAGGTTGCTAGGCAACGAAACATACGCCCGCAGCAGCTAAGTCATTCGGGCAGTCAACAAGAGTTGTCGCATATTTTTTTCTTTTGTCATAAATGAAAACATTTACAGCACACTAAAATCTGATTACGAATAACAACCAATTTGGGTTCTAGTTTAGCATACGATACATTTAAAATCAATTGCCATACTGATCGGAAAACGTCAAAAATCAATAGGCTTCTTCGTCTCATGACCTTAAATACTGTGTATAAATTTAAATCGGATATTAACATTGTATCAATTCAAAGTCAATTGGATGATAACTTTTGTCTATAGAGCGTCCACCAGATTTTTCAAAGTGAACAAGGGCCATAACTCAGGCCGTATTTATAAGAAATCGTTGAAAATCAATAAGCTTCTTCGTCTTATGACCTTAAACGCTGTGTATCAATCGGATATTAACTTTAGCACCCAGAGGGTCCACAAGATTTTTTTTAGAGTGGTCGAGGGCCATAACTGTAGCAGTAATTATCGGCAATCGTAAAAAATCAAAAGGTATCTTCGTCTATAAATTTAAAGTCAATCGGATATTAACTTTAGCGTGAACGTCTGACCGACAGACGGGGGCGACAACAATATACGACTACATTTCAAAGTGGTCGTATAAAAGGAGATTTTCATGCCCTTCTTCACTAAAACATATACTGCGGTAACATAAACTATGGTGGCTGAAACCGTCCATTTAGATCGTCGTATTTCTAGATACAACGCGAGATTCGCTGTTAAGCCAGCACGACGAAAAGGGCGACCATCGGCAAATGTTTCGTCGTACTGGCTTAACGGCGACCCGCGACTTTCACAACGCAAGAGTCGTCGTTAAGCTAGCGCGAAGAAAAGTCGCCGAAAAAAATCAGCGCCTTTTTCGGCGACCTTTTCGTCGCTCTGACTTAACGGTGGCTCTCGCCTCGGATGTCGATAGTTAGTTGCATGCGCAATGGCTACATTTTACTTCGGGTTGCGCTCTCTCTCTGTTGATATTTAACGCGTAACGGAATGAGAAACGGATCTGGCGATGGAATGCTTTGCTGATGTCAGTAAACCTTTCATAAAGCTATGTTACATCATACCTATAGTCATTTGCAAAGAGGACGGCATAACACGGAGAGTATATAGAACTAGATTAAAGTGTTATCTAGTATATGCGGAACCAACCTAGGAGTTCAAGAGATTTGTTGCTTTAGATGATTTTCTGAAAATTACACCGAATTTTGATCGATATGAATACAAATGAATTTTTACCGATAAATCCTTCTCAAAAATAAGAATATGTAATCAGAAAAATTGATATAATTCTAAATGAAAGTACTGGCATCATCGGCTCCTTAAAATGGATCCGGCGTTTTGTAAACCACCAGCTACATAACTCATTTTTGGGGGTTTGGTACTCCCGATCAGATTTCGAATATTATTTAATAAATTTGATAATATACAAACCCAAGGTACAAGAACCCGTTATCTAAGATACCCACTTGTAATCAATCGACATTATAACGTTTTCTATTATATCTGCCTCGCACGACGCAAAGAATGACGCCGCCCTTGCGTAGCGCGTCGTTTTATTTTAGGACGTCCTTATTCGGAAATAAGGGATGTCGTATTGTTTAATACAACATCGCCCTTCGCGTCGCGTTTTATAAATTATATTCCTTTTACGGAGAACCTAGGTCGGACAGGCGGTGGGCCCTTAATTTACCTTACCACATCCCTGAACCGAGGTCGGACATACGGCGGCCCCCAGGGCGGGATTGACAGTCAAACCTAAATTAACCTACCACACCTAAGATTTTAACATTATGGCAAAGCGGGCAAGACTGCACACGCTCGCCATTCTTTCTTTTCCGACACCCAGAACCTATCCTTTCGATGAAATATACCTTTGGTGCTTCCCTACAAAGACACTGTGTCTTACCCAAATAAGACTATTTTGTGGCTTTGTCTGGCAAGTTTCTTAGGAAACACATGTCTTCTATATCACCCTTGGTGGAAGTGGACGTTAAACTCCAGGACCTACCGATCAGAGAATGCATTATGTTTGAATTTTTATAATATTTCATATTTATTACAAATCAATTCAACTATAAATATTGGTAATAGCCCCCGCCCCCCCCCCCCCCCCACTCCGTGTTCAGAAAGGTAGGACGTTAAACCCCAGTTCTTATTCATTTTAACCCAGTTGGCAATGGAAGTTCTCTGCGAATTTGAAAAAGATCAAACAAGAAACCAGGGACGGGTAATTGACGACAATAAAACCAGATGGTAAATGTAGTCTATTGTGGACAGGGATTTAAAGCGACGAGTTGTACATAAAAATAATTCTACATTGAGCCGGAGAGACTTTTAAATTTCTATAAGCGTATACCGTGTGGTTAAAATAGTTTACATTATAACTAAATAGCGACTATATATATCGCTATCAGACTGTGATGTTATCAACCGGCATGACATTGGGGTCTGTGAAATTATTTTTTATCAAAACAAAGTCTATAAACAACGTGTAAAAGTCAGACTTTTTCTCAATATATCCATACTTTACGAACAACTTATATCCGTTAAAAAAAAATTAATACTAATTCAGAAGGCCTTGTAGCATTTTACACATTTGGCCTAATCGTTCATGGTGTTTTAATTACTAACAAGTGGATTGAACAGGCTAGCCCAGGCGATTTTTCTGCAGTTAGTCCTAGATTACTATTGACCAAGGGCGAGGATTTGTCATAACTTTTGGGAGGGACGGACGAACCCCTGAACCTGGAACATTTCCTTACCAAACAAAACAAATAATTACGAACAGTTTACTGTACCAGTGTTATTTCGATGAAGGCTGTAACTAGGGGTAATATGATGACAATATAGAAAAATTGACTACCTACATCAAAGCTGCATAAATATTAATTGTTCAAGAAGTTAAGTGAAACGTCCATTCTACGATCAGGACTGTTCTCTTTGAATATCTTGGCGACATGAAGGGGGTTATTATGCACCACACATGCCATACGGCGCAGAGTGCTGAAGGATCGCTCGGCTGAGCAGGAACTAGCAGGGTTCAGAAGTGTGAGACGGAGAAGAGCTTTGACAGAAGGGAATATCTGCCTCAGTGACATACTGAGGAACAAGCTCACCATCATGTGGATATAAACCTGAAAATATGTCCTGGCGATCAAAATCATGGGGGGGGGGGGGAAAGAGACGTCCCCCCCCCCTAAATTCACGCCCATGTTACTGACAAACTTGATTCGGTTCCCATTATTAAAACAGACATTACTATTTTGTATAATTAATTCATGTTATCATCTGTAACACTAATAAATTTTACTTTACATCATTGTCATGGAAAATGGTGATATAGCTCGAAAGCCCCAACTTATCCAAAATCTCTTCCATTATGATTTTCTATATAAGGAGTAAAATGTAGCCATTGCGCATGTAACTAACTTTCAGCTTCCGAGGCGGGAGTCGCCGTTATAGTCCGGTGGCTGGAGGGGGGGGGGCACCCGAGCTGTGAATTTATGAGACCAAGTTTTTTGCGTAGATTCCGAATCTGGGTGGTGATCATGCGTTTGAGTGGGCGTTTTCGAGATATGGGTGTGGGGAGGGGGGGGGGGGGGGGGTCCAGTGTCTACAATTGATGACCATGTTATATATTAATAAACATAACTTTCTAGGACTGCCCATCTCTAAATAAGTGTTTATGATGCCCCAGGACAACTGTTTTCATTTGAGGCGAGATGGGGTAGGTAGTTGCAGGTTTGCGTGTGTGGAGGGAGGGTTGGGGAGTAAAATTGGCGGGAAATGAGCTCACGTCGATTTAAATGATGATTTTCTTAGAGCTTGATGAAACATCTGTAAATATGTTTATAACATTCCCACTGATTGGGGGTGGGCGTAGGGGTGGGTGCCCAAAGGGGGCGGGGACAACATATGTTTTTGTGGACAGAAATCACTTGGTTCAAAATTGACCTTACAAGTTTAAAAGTGGTTTCTCGTTAGCCTTTTTGTTCAGTACCTGTTTCGTCATTCAATATATTAAATTATAATGGTCTTTTCAAGAGATCTGGAAATGTGCATAAAAAACACAGTAAATCAGAGACATGTTTAGATATTAGTTTAATCTTAGTCTTCACCAGAAGATTCAAAATCAGGGGTTATAATATGAGCGGGATAAATATCTTCTTGGTTGCTGACCAACAGATCGCATACGCTCGTATATCCTTTGGATATGCTTCAGATACCAATTCACATTGTAAATCTTCATTCCAGCCATGCAGCAAAAGACCACTACAGCAAGGTGGTTATAAAGAAAGGTCTGTTATTTTTTTTACCCAGAAAATCTTTCTTCTAACGTCATCTACTGATGTATCTCGCCTTCCGCGATAGTTTCTAGCTTTGCCTGTTTCATTATCGATCAGAATGTGTATATTTGGATCATTGTTTGCGAGGAGAATGATTGGGATGTCTATTTCGCCCGAGGAAGAACGCAAAATACAATTTGTTTCAGCGCCTCCATTAATTTGAAATGCGAAAAGGAGTAGGTAAGCTATTTTGGTTTGTTGTCAGTTCCAGGATATTCTCGGCACTTTCAATATTAATCTTGATATATTTTTTATCCAATCAAGATTAGTGTTGAAAGTGTCAAGGATATCTCGGCCTACATGCTTTCAGTGGTAATGACTATCTGTCTTTTTTTCCCAACTTTCTAACAATTTTTAAAGAGCTGGGACAGACAAATGATGTTTCTGATGACGTAATTGCTGGTTTAGAAAAAAATGTTTGTACCATGTACGGCGAAAGGCGAATTACGTCAGTAGATGACACTAGAAGAAAGATTTTCTGGTGGAATTTTAATTGTGATGAAAAATATCAAACCTTTCTTCCTTAATTACCATCTTGCCTAAGTAGTCTTTTGCTGCACATTAAACACAATTATGTTGCAACAATATGGAGA